AACCTGGCAGGAACACCCATGAGACTTATTTCTAATTACCAAAAAGCAAGAAGTTGGGCTATGAATCGATCAAGTGGTAGAGTGCTGGCCTTGAGAGAGAAAAAAAAAAGCTTAGGGGCCTTCTATAAGTACTGAGTTTAAGATCCAGGACTGGTAGTAAAAAAGAAAAAAATGAATCTTCTAAGCAATGTATTTCAATTTTAATTAGAATGCTAATACAAATGTGGGAAAAAGGAATAGTTCTTATTTTAAATATCTAGATGTAAAAGGCAGAAGATGATCACTCCGCCTAATAGAAATGTTTTCCCTCATTTCTGTCTTAATGTCTAGTGCTGAGGTTAGCTTTAAGGTTAGGCTGACAACTCATGTATTTTTCCTTCATTCATTTGTTCAGACTTCCACTCATGGCACTACCACTGAGTCTTTCTATATACCATTCTCTAAGTGCTGTAAAAATGAGACACAAATGCCAGACTCTACATGCACTCATTTACTAGCAGCTCACGTCAACTCTGTTGTTACTGATTACTTTAAACCAGGGAGGGTTGGCAAATGCTTAACCATGGGATCTCTAGGGGAAAATGAGTCTGGATTTGCAGCATTGGCTGAGTGCTGGGTGGAAATACTGCCGACATGTCTGATGTTAAGCCAGCTCCAAGCATGATGTCATGGGACTTGAACACGGGGAGAGAAGTGTATCATCTGCTCTCAAAGCACAACTCAAATAGAGTCATTTTCCATGCACAATTCTTAAAGTGTCGTGTCTGGAACATAACGTCACCTGGGAACTTGTTGTAAATGTAAATTTTCAGTTGGGGGTCTCCCAAAGCAGAAAGGCATAGGGTCTTCCAGCACACCTGCTCCACTCACTGCCCAGGGTTGGGAATCTATGCCTGTCTCAAACAAGGCGTGAATGACCATCTGGTGTAAGAAATAACATGAGGATCTGTGCAGGCCATGTCATTCCTACTGGTAAAGGAGTAAGTTCTGCATCTTGCATTTCTTCAAACACACTTAACGGCTTGTAACCACTGTCTCTCTGTCTGTCTGTCTGTCTCTCTATATTATTCTATTTTATTTTATTTTGTTCAGTTGTGGGGCTTGCATTCTGGGCCCGAGTGCTCTACTCCTTGAGCCACAGTGCCACTTCTAGTTTTCTGATGGTTCACTGGAGATAAGTCTCAAGGACTATCTTGCCCAGGCAGGCTTTGAGCCACAATCCTCAGATCTCAGCCTCTGAGTAGCTAGGATTACAGGTGTGAGCCACTGGTGCCCAGCTACTATCCTAATTTTTAAATACTATGTTTCCAAAGAAGCTACCCAGTGAAGAGAAGAAGAATTTGAGTGTGAAGGTACACACACATATTTTTAATATAATTTCTTAAGTATTTGATAATCTTTAAGTACAAAGGAGTTGCCATTCAACAAAGCATTTTATGAATACAATGTGTCTTGATCACAGTCATATAGTTTTCAAGAAACAATCTTTAAAAGGCAGAAAACTATCAATGTAGACAGAATTGTATTCATACAGATTATTTGAAATGAAGAATATCATCAAACAAAAACTTGGTCTTATAGAAATAGTAACTTTTACATGCTTATACTTCTCTAATTTTTAATCAAATTTGATTAACTAAAATAAATCCATTCCCTCAGTGTTAAAAGCTGAGCAGGCAATTAAAACAAAATATTTATTAAGTAAGCAATGGGAAAACTGATTTTAACAGTTTTTATGATAGATTTTACCATGATAAGAGAAATAGTACTTTTCTGTTAGAGATTTTTAGTAAGCACGTGTGCCAGTTTCTGACATTTGGCTAGAAGCCAGAAAATTAGCAAGTGCACAGTTAAGTCTCAGGACAAATTTCAAATTAAAAATGAAGGGAAGAAAAGAATTAAAGGCAAATCCAATATTTGTGGAGGACTTGGCAATGCCCTTCTATCTACAAATAATGTGACTGGAATTTAGGATTGCATAAAGCAAATAAAAGAAACTCAGTTTGGGATCATTTGAATTTATGATTCCAATAGCTACCATTATTTACTATTTTCCATTCATTTTTGGAATATTTTACATATGCTACATAATAAAATTCTTACCACAGTAACATAAAAATGGTACTATTGTGCATTACCCTTATTTTCCAGATGAGGCCCTGGCAGCTGATAGAGTGCACCCAGGACCTGCTTGCTTAGGGCTGGCTAAGCTGGGAATAAAATCATGGCAGACCATCTGGAGACCATTGGGTCCTTGCTTTGGCCTCAAATTTTGCGTACTGATAATATTCAGGCATAGTGGTGTTCATGTAAAAGCCTTGTTTATGTCCTAACTCCCTCTCTGTGACTCTTCTTGCTTTATGGAAAAAAGTCATAAAAATAAAAATATGCATATCTTCCTCTGACATGATTGTACTACACACATTTGTTTTTCCTTTTGAGTATGGTATCTTAGAAATCTTTCAATATTGTACATAGACCTTCCTCACTTTCTTCTTCTTTACCTCTTATTTTTATCCCTCTTATTTTTCTAATGTATTTTCTTCATATGTAATTAACATAAGTTAATACATACTCATCTCGAGCACCTGTGTGTGTCTTTGTTTAATTTGTAACAAGGCCTTACAGAGAGGTGCAAACAGTAAATCCTCTTTTGCAACCCAGAACTCATTGCTAATATGAGATTTTGGTATATGTAAGAAGGAATATGATAAAAAATATATATGTATATACTCATCTCAATTTATGATAACTTTTTTTTTTTGCCAGTTGAGGGGGCTTGAACTCTGGGCCTGGGCGCTGTCCCTCAGCTCTTCAGCTCAAGGCGAGTGCTCTACCACTTGAGCCACAGTGCCACTTCTGGCATTTTCTGTTTATGTGGTGCTGAGGAATCAAACCCAGTGCTTCATACATGCAAGGCAAGCACTCTACCACTGAGCCATCTTCCCAGACCCTCAATTTAAGATAACTTTGACTGTCTTCTGTTACTAAAATGTAGTAGCTTTTCCAAAGTTGTCATATCACAACTCACACATCAAGATTTAAATTAAAGCTACATGCCTTACATGTTTCAATTGACTAATCTTATAGAAGAAACATAAAACTTTTGATTTTGAATAAAGATTACACAATATAATATTTTTATCAATGTCCCAGGTTCAAGAAATTGGCAGGAAAAATCTATATTGCTTGGAAGAGGAGTAACAAGAACATAACTTCAAAAAAAGAAAAACCTCTTTAGTGAGTTTCTCATTTGAATATAATCACTTAGCTTTCTAAAACTTACTTAGAAATCTTTTTGGCATATATTACCCATATTTAGCTTTTAATAATCCAGTTCAAAAACTCAGTAGGACCCTTAGGAAATTCATATGGTTTCATTATCACGAAATATTAGAAAAATAAAAATGAGCTATAAATGTATGAAAGCTTTATGTGGGGTGCAAGACTATAAAATTGAAGGCTTATTAGTATCTAATATGCTGGCCTCTGTTCCTCACCAGTTGGAGGTGAAATAGGCATTGTTTACCACTTGAAAACCATTCATTATATGCCTACATCCATGCTTCACATAGTCTCAGTGGAGGTTTTGCTCACCACCAAAAAGAATAAAGTCCACTCATGGTAGCAACTGGTATCTACTTTTCCACAACTACTTATGAAGGATCCAACGCGATGTGAAGGCTTTTGAAGCAAATGTCTATAAGCAAGGGTAATGCCAATAAAATCAAAGTCACAAGTATTCTTTTATGAGTCTCAATCAAAGCCCAATCGCTTGTGACCAAGTGTGTTTGGCCTACAGTGTGTTTTGTTCATAAACATGGTTCTAAAACCTGAACCAACAATCTTTAAAGAAGAGAAAATTTCACATTGACTTCAATAGAAGAGATTTCTGCTTTTCCTGGAAAAACCCAGAGTATGGCCAAATCAGACCCACAGAATTCAAGGACAAGCGAGCAGGCACAGTCTTTTGACGAAGATCTGATCTGAGTTCCTTCCAGACTGCCTCTGCTGTATTGTCAACAGGAAAGCTCTTTGTTGCAGGAGTCCTTACTGCCAGAGTTGGTTCTGTTATGGAATAAATTGGTGGGGGCATATTCCATTCCTATATTTGACTTTTTAATTTAGTTATGCTTGGAAACACTGACTGTATATGAGTTTCTGTTCCCTTCTCTAAAGGATGATTTCTGCAGTTCTTTCTACATATGATAGAATTCACTCAAAAGATGATAGCAGGAGGATGGCAGAGAATAAAACGTGCACTGTGGCTTGAATGTGTCTCTGAAAGTTCATTCACTGGGGGACACACCAGTGCAGCAGTACTGAGGGGAGAATTTGCAGGTGTTCAGGGCTATTCCCTCACTCTCACAAATGGATTGATGCTGTATCAAAGGAAGTGAGTCTGGGTGCTGTAGTCCTAGCTACTCAGGGGGCTGAGATCTGAGGATTGTAGTTCAAAGCCAGCCCAGGCAAGAAAAGTCCATGAGACTCTCATCTCTAATTAATCACAGAAAAAGTGGTACTCGAGCTCAAGTGGTAGAGTGTTAGCCTTGAGCAAAAGTCGCTTATGGACAGCGCCCAGGCCCAGAGTTCATAGCCTAGGACTTTCAAAAGGAAAAGAAAAGGAAAGAAAAAGTGGGTTAGCCATCATGGGAAGGTGAGCCTGATAAAATCGGAGAGTTTAGCCCTCCTTCCTCTCTCTACCCCCATCTTTGGCTTGTGATCTCCTGCCTCTTCATTCTCTAACAGGATGTCACAACTAGAAGGACCTTGTCAGATGTGGGAATCGTGACTTTGGATTTTTTTCAGCCTCTTCTTAATCTCCTTTCATTAGAAATTACCTCGTCTCAGGTATTCCATTACAAAAGCACAAGAGGCACAAGAGAGATGTGGAAAAAAATGACCCCTCTCCACTTCCTGTATTGCCATCACAGAATAATAGAGGAGAAGCAGTGCTTCATTAGACAGTTCACTTTTACCAGTAACTAAGAGATCCTCACCTGTAAATGGCAGAAGCCGGGTGGGAGCCGGTGTCATAGCTGGCCCTCACGCGCCCGCGGTAGAGTTCCACAGCGATGTGGTCTTTGTCACCCTTATACAGGAGGATGCCACTGTCTTCATCGGTGGCAATCTGGAAGAAAAGGCCTTGACATAGTAGATGCCCACTCAACAAATGCATCCCATCAAATGAAGGAAGATTTTTAATATAGCTTACTTTTTCACAATGGCTAGTGGAATCTAATGCACACAGCTGTCTGAAAGCTAACTTGCCTATACATTACTCTGCTGTAAACAAATTTATAAAGAACTGACAACTACTTCAGCTATGTGCTTAGGATTTCCTTTGCTGGAGATTCTCTCTGATGTTCACATTATTCTTCTTATGGGTTTCATCTTTGTCATATACTAACGACTGCATTGAGCAAGGCGGATTCATATCTTGTATTAAAATTATTTATAGTTATGTTAGGTCCATGAGGATTTATCTGTTGTTGGTGTTCATTTTTTAATCATGGTCCTTTTCTTTTTGAGGATATTGAAAAGACTAGAGTTATGTAAAGTTAGGGCTTAAGCCTCATATACCTTGGAAAATGTTCTCTGACTACTCATTGTTGTAAAAATAAATGAATGAATGAATGAATGAATGAATGAATGAATGAATGAATAGAGTGGAAGGTAGGGTGACAGAGTTTTAGAAAAGACCTTCCCAAGGTCTTGTTCTTCAGGACTTCAAAAGTAGTTACCACTCCTCAATACCCAGAGAGTCAGGGCAAAAAAAAGAAGAAGGGATGGTATCTACAGGAAATTGGTTGAAGTCATTTAGATTCAAAATATATTAAGTGATCATGATGAGCAGATAACACAATACTCAGTCTTAATATGTCCCTGCCCCATATTCTGCATTTATTAAACAATCTAGCACCATCTTTCCCCCCCAACATTTGAATGATTTGCTTAAAGGAAAAGATTTCTTGGTGGAAAGACTTAAATTTAAGTTGTTAAATTTCATGTTATCTTCCTGCTTCCCCCACGCCCCCCCCCCCCCCTCAATCCTGGTGCTTAAACTCAGGGCCTAGGCACTGTCCTTTAGCTTTTTCACTCAAATCTGGTGTTCTACCACTTGAAATAGACTTCCACTTCCAGCCTTTGGGTGGTTAATTGGACTTTTCTTTGCAGGCTGGCTTTGAACCACAGTCTTCACATCTCAGCTTCTTAAGTAGCTAGGATCACAGTAGTGACAGCCCACCACCTGACTTCATGTAATAGGCTTCAGCTGAGTTCTGTCTCACTTAAGCCTTTCTTAAACGCAGACCTCCAAGGAAAAATGTCCTCCACCCTGTGCAGTGATTGAACAGCAGTGCCATAAAATAAGTAAATAAGTAAATAGAGTTACTTCACTTGGGCATCCAATAAAGGGATTCAACTTGTTGCTGTCCCTCACCCAAGATAATGGAGTGGATAAAAAAATACCAGTTCCTTTTTTTTTTTAAATACAAAGTTTGAAGAGAAACATTACTGAAGCTTTGCCCACGAGGGGAATGAACATTCTGTCACCGTCTCTGCAAGTATCAGTAGCATTCCCAAACTCCATCATGGGTGTCATCATCTACCCAGGCTGACTCTGGCTCAAGCTCACATCTGTTCTTGGGGGTGGGGAGGCTCACCTGAAAGGTGATGTTTGTCTGTGGCTGCACCTTGGCTGAAGGAATTTGAAGGTAGGACTCTTTGTTTACAAAATTCACACTGACCAATTTTTCACACTTCTCTCCCTGGTAGCCAGGTAAACACTGGCATATGGGCTCATTTATCCTGATGATGCACTGAGCTCCATTCTGACAATCAAAATTATCACAGGGGCTGGTCCGAGGCAGAACCATAGGTGGAGAAAATTCACAGAACAAGCCACTAAAAGATACAGAGGAGAGCGGAAGTTAGTGCAGATTTTATATGGATGGGTGCTGAAAGCACATGTCTATGCAACTGAGTATTTCTGTGTGTACCTGTAGCCTTCGGGACAGATGCACGTGTAGCCGTTCACCGCGTCGGTGCAGTGGGCCCCATTTGTACACTTGTTATCTTGGCAGTCATCAAAATCGATGTCACAGTGCTCCCCGATGTATCCTGGTGTGCAGTCACACCTGTTTGAACAAACAGGTAAAATTTCAGTCTCAATGGAGATAAATCAATAGGCAGATGCATTCCATGTTTGAGGAAATGTCCTCAACTCAACCAACACATCTTTGTAACAGTCTCATCTCTAATTTAACAAATGCTGAGAATACCGAACTTGCTGCAAACTAGCATGTGGTTTCCAACTCTGATCTATTGGAGATGTGGCTTGTTCTGTGAATTTTCTCCACCTATGGTTCTGCCTCGGACCAGCCCCTGTGATAATTTTGATTGTCACAACAGAATAAAGAAATCATGAGTTCTTTCTCTCTCCCTTTTCTCCTTCCCTCCTGTTTTTTTCCTTCCCTCTTGATTAATATATTAACTTTTCCACAGCTATTAGATGCATTGGAACAAAAATACAATTTTCAGGGAAACTAGTGAGTTAATATTAGGCACTCTAATTTTTGACACATCTGGAAAATGACATAACAAAACGTGGTTGACTGTGAAGGATCTGATACCAAAATCCACGGGGCCAAGTCCACAGACAGCTTTTTGGCCTCTGCACTCTGTTGAAAAGTGGCAACTCCACTGAGGATGAAGAATCAGGATCACAGTGGAGCTGACATTTCTAAGCACTTCCTGTCTTCCATGGATTCACTGAATCTCCTCCATGCCCTGAGCCACTGGTGATACCATTATATCCATTGTGTAAGTGCGGAAACTAAGGGACAAGGAGCTGAAGTACCTTGCCTAACGACATGCCACTTAAGTGCCTCAGCTAGAAGTCTAACTCAAGCTGTCTGATCAAAGAGCCTGGATCCCTGGCCACTGCATTTTGTGGTCTGATAATCAATTTCTTAAGGTTCCCTTTAAAAATCTGTCCTTGTTCAGTGCTGGCCAGTAGACAGCCAGGACTCAGGACTTTATCATGCCCTAGGAAAATTGTTGTATACAACAATTGTCAAGCGGTGGCAGTCCATTCCATAGCCTCAGTGTCTGTTACTCATAAATATTAAGTAAGAAATTCCTTAAATAAAACAAACTTCCAAAATTTAAAATTGTATGCCATTCTCAATCGTGTAATGAACCTTTGCAATATTTCATCTGTCCTACCTGGGATCACTCCTTTGGCCAGTCCACACTGTATGACTACCAGCACAATAGTAACAGCAATCTTTTCAATGATCTCCTTCCAGAGTGTTATGGTACTTGTGTTCAGGTCATTTGTGAGATCATGAGGTATTTGTCTTTTGGTATTTAATCAACTTTATGTATCATAAAGTGTAATCTTGCCTAAGATACTTAAATATCACCAAATACTTCCTTATCTAGAATATATATATATATATATATGTGTACAAATATATATGAACATATATATGTATATGTATATATATATACCCCTCACAAGTTAAAGTTATTGGCATAACTTTTGTACAAAATGCATTGATAAATGTATGTTTTGATAAATGGTATTTTTATAAGTTTCTATGTAAGTATTTGTAGTCAGATAAAACTCTTTAGAATTTATTGTAGTATTCACTACTTTATTTTAAAGATAATACTATTTAAATGAGAAAGGACATTTAAAACCATGTGGCATTACTGAATGCCACAGGAATTGTGTGTATTTTAAGAGTGAATGGAGATTGGAACATTAAAAAAAGTGGGAGTATGTAGCTTTTAAGAGCAATGGACATTCTGCCTGCATGTAGGATTTAAGAAATAAAATGATCTCAGAACTTAAGCATGCTTTCTGTGCAACCAGTCAGTTTTAATGCTAAATCATAATAAGGCAAAGTAAATAGCAAGTCTGAAGTTAAATGGACCCTAAGTGGCTGCACACATTTTCAAATAGATGGACAAGAAATTCCATCAATGTTAATGTGAACAGAGCCACTGAAGTGCCAAGCATTAAGAGAAAGGAGAAATGCTTTGAAATACTGAATTATTTATTTGAGAAATCAAAGTAAAAGACCAGAGAGTCATACATTTACCACAGAAGCTCTCTAAAAGGTATTTTGTATTCTCTTATCTCCAAATAATATTCTTCGAGCCCATTAGAAAATGGAGTTACATCACAACCACAACTTGTGGGAGTGCATGTGTGTGCATGTGTGCATGCATGTGTGTGTGTGTGTGTGTGTGTGCGTGCATGTGTGTGTTTCTTCTATTCCTTACACCAAATTTCAAAACAGAGAACACATTTGAATCAGAATCCCTCTCACTTTCCATTTTCAAACAAGTATCAGATACCCTCAAGTTCCTATCTCTCAAGTCTTGAAGCCAAATGTACCATATACAGTTAAGCAGCCGGAGACCCAAATGAGTCAGATGCATTCTTCAAAATACTGCTTAGGGCATCCCAGGGTCTAAAAATATCTCAAGGCCATTTCAGAGATTTATGAGTTATATAATAAAGCAAGAAGAGTAGAGCCAGCTCTGTGAGTTCAGTAATAAGAAAATGCACTTAAACAGGACAACTTGTCCAAAAAGTATTTCTTAGAAATTTTCTTTCACTGCTTCGTTTTGATTGGTTTATGTCCATTTTCTTTTTGCAGGCATGCTTCCCACGATGCACAATTATATCTAAGATGGAAGTAAGGGCACCCACTCGATTTGGTCTGTTTTCTGCTGAGCTAGTTACAGCCAAGGTGTGAGCCTGAGAGTCAGTGGCCACTGAAAACCACGGGCTTCTACATTAATTAACCAGTACTGCAGCAAAATGCACTTTTAGAGGGTACAATGTGGCTGCTCGAAATAGAAGATATTTAATTGAGAATTTACCTTTGTGAATACAAACTCTTAGTTACAATGTATCAAGTCTATTCATTTCTCTGAGGATCATCTTATTTGTTACATAAGCAATGAACTTTTGCCTTGCCAAATTCAAATGTGGGTAGATCAAAGATGACACTAGCTACAACAAGTTAACTAGAGTGGTTGAATAAAATGTAATGCAGAATTCTGCATAAAGTAAAAAATTTATAGTGTTTGCCCAGGGCTGTAATCTGAAATAAGATGAAAGACACAATCAAATCAATCCTTTTCTTTCTCAATAAGGCATTGAATAGCATTAGCATGTCCTGCACGTAGAGTAGTATATTCTAAATCTTTAGATTTTTAACTCAAATTGGAACAAGATATTTTTGTCAGGGAATAAATATTTATATCAGATTAGCCTTTGAAAATCGGGGAAGGTTTCACAATATTGACCTCACGCCCTTGTTTCACTCAAAAGTCTGATGATCTGTTTGAAAAGTACCAAAGATTTACAGCTCAAATACTATTGACTCTTCAAAATTGTCCCTGACCTTCTTTTAAAATTGCTCATGAGTAATTTTTAACTCTCTGAAAGCTATGGTAATTAAGCTTGGGTCACTCTCTGTGAACATAATGTGAAATGAATAGCTATAAAACACTACAAAAACATAAGATGTATAATTACCACATGTCCAGACCATGGCCAATTCTCCATAAATTCTGGGTTGGAGGAACACATAATGCTTTCGGCAAGTTATCTGGTATAACCCCAGCTCAACTCCAGAACCCAGATGTATCATGCCTAAGAATCCAGCTGTTCCTCTGTATCAGACCACATGAACGATTAAACTATAAAATGTCTTGAGAGAGAACATACATTCACCAAACTGGAAAAGCTAGCTCCAGCTCTCCCAATAAATAAGCTAGGGGTATCTGCATAGCCAAGCAAACCCTGGCTCATCATTTCCTTATGTTTATAACAAAGAATCAGCACCAAGATAACCTTGAAGTTACAGCTGCTGTAGATATACTCCAGAAATACTTCAGGATGGAAGCAAGAAAATTATGGAGTTTGCTGTGAAACATTTTTCAGAATTATTGCTTGGATGACAAGGTGCCGTGGTACACTCCTATAATTCTAGTTACTCAGAGGCAGAGATTTGGAAGATTGCACTTTGAGGCTGACCTAGGCAAAATGTTAGAGGGGCGCTTCTCAACACACAAGCCAAGCATGGTGGTACTGACTGTCTGTAATCCCAGTTACATAGCAGGTCATAGGTCCATAGGTGATACAACCCAACCCTGGCAGAAACTAGTAATCCTGTCTGAAAAATAAAGCTTTTATAAAAGGGCTGGAGTCCAGTATCAAGTGTAAAGAACCTGCCTAGCAAGTGTGAAGTCTTGAGTTGAGTATTGCCAAAAACCACAGACACATACCATGCACACATACATGTACGCGTGTGTGCGTGTGCACACACACACACACACACACACACACACATTAAACTCCCCTCCTCCCTTTCTGCTTGGAGAAAATGAAATGATTTTGATGTTTTCAGTTCACTTGCTAGAGCTCTTCAGGAGTATCAAAGCCATTCTTTGGATATAGTTAAGGTAAAAGGAGCACTTCTGCCAGATACTGGAAGCTCAGGGTACAATCCTTGCTACTTAGGAGGCTGAGATCTGAGGTTTTCGATTGGAAGCAGGGCCAGGCAGGAAAGTCTGTGAGACTCTTATCTCCAGTTAACCACTAGAAAACTGTAAGTGTTGGTGTGGCTCAAAGTAATAGAGAGCTACTTGAGCACTTAAAATTTCAAGGACAGCACCTAGGCCCTCAGTTCAAGCTCTATGACCAATAAAGAATAAAAAGTTAAAGAAAAAAGAGCACTATTAACAGTTGAAGTGGGGACACAGTCATAAATCAGGACTGTCCTGGACCATCTGAGTGATGTGGTCATTGCATGGATACTCAAAGTAATATTTCACAACATAACCTTTGCAATTCTGCTGCAAACTTACCTTCAGGTGGTAGTGGAGCCCTGGCCTTTGAATTAGTGGAAGGAAACTTATTGAAAGATTCTGTTATTCCAACAATGACTTTCCAGAAAGTCGTGGAACAGAAGGAAACCTATCTTCCTTCTGTTTGGTGTTCTAAAAGACACCCATGCTTTCTAGGAGCATTGGTGAAACTGTCACAGGCACTAGCCAATAGACCTCTTTCTTTCATGTTGGTTGAAGGCACAGAGCTAGGGCTTGTGGGTAAGGAGAAGACAAGTTCCAAAAAGAGAAGAGCAGAAGCGCTCCTTGCTGACTGGGAGCCCCAGGTGCTGCTCACTTACTTGTATCCTTTTGGGGTCAGAATGCACTTGGAGTCATGCTGGCAGGGGTTCAGGTCCTGAGCACAGAAGTCCAGCTTCTCCTCACACAGCTCGCCTGCAACACGGTCAACTCTGTTAGCTCAGATGGAAAAGCCAACAGCCCTCCAGCAGTCTGTGCCAAGGGTCCCAGACCTGAGCACCACTCATGATCGAAGCAACACAAGAACCCACACACAAAATACGGCAAAAAAAAATAAAGACTGTGAAGAAAACACATATAACCCCCACCCCCCACTCCCAATATAGAACCAAGCAAAGCCCATTGTCCTCATACGTGGCTCAAGTGTGATCTTCTCTAGAATACATTATTGGAATCAGAAGAAGGTGATCAGAATTTTCAGTTTTGCTGATCAGAATTTTCAGTTTTGCTGATTGGTTGATATTATTTGGGGTTGTTGACTGAGGTATTGCATCAAATCGAGTAATCTTTTTTTCTAAAAAGCTGGTGACTATTCATAAAAGCTCCCACTGAAGTGACGTCTATCCACGTTCATAAACCCACCGCTTACCAGCTTCGCCCAGTTTCCCTCATGCCTGCCTCTGGCTACTAATCTCCCAAGGTTAGGTTAGTCTATCTTGTTGAAGTCATAGGTCTCTGGTGTTAGCTCTTTGTAAGTTTGACAGGCACAAACAGAATTATATGATATATATTTCTTTACTTCTAATTTATTCTGTAGCCTAAGGATTGAAGAGAAACCCTCAAATCTTTATACGCTCTAAGGTTTTATAGAAAGTTACATTGTTTCTCTCTTATGCATCAACATCACACTTCTTAGCCATTATTTCCAAAGGTGCCAGCTATCTAATAATTTTAATAATGTGCAACGTTAATGGACAAGCAAAAAGTTAAAAACAAAACCATACAGATTCTAAGCTGTCTCTATTGAATTATGTGACTGATAGTCTCTTCAGACATTTTTTTCAGTACAAATAGCACATCACTATTTAAGATACAGACAGACAGACAGATAGCTAGCTAGCTAGCTAGCTAGAAAGAACCAGGTATAATTTTTCACGGAGATGAGTTTCCCAACCACCAAGATGCTAAGACGATAGGAAGGATATAGCTTTACAATTAAGTTAATTTTAACTTGTTTTATTTGCAAATAAAACAACAAACAAAAAACAAACGTGATATGTCCCAGGGTAGTTGCTCTTTTCTAAGACACAACTTAAACTTGTACTTCTTCGAAGTGTGGACTTAGCAGAACTGGCTTAAAAAAACAGGAGTTTAGTGAACACTCTTTTGTTACAAGGCTATCCTTTTAAGATAGGAGTATTAGGAATTGGTAAAATTAGTTGCCAACTAAATAACCTTATTTAGATGTTAAGGGCTGTTTCCATAGGTCAAGTCTATAAATGTACTCAGTTATTATATCAATCTACCTTTGTTATTTCCTAAAATGAACTTATTGAACAGAAATTCTCATCATATTGCTTCTATAAGATTTTTCTATGCCTTAAATCTATGACAAAAAGTGTTTATAGTTGGTGAGCTATATTTAAACAGGCTTTAAAAATTTACAAGTTTAATTAGCATTATTTTAAGTTAGACATCTTAATGGGGTTTCTTCATTATAATTTATCATACTAACATGATTAAAGCACTTTCTAATCCAATCTATGTAGTGGAGATTAGGATGGTAGAAAGTAGCTTATTTCCAAGTAAGTAAAATTTCCTGCTAAGAGAAGGACCTTTTGAGACAGTAAATATTATTCTGTTCACTTTCAACTTAGTCCCAAATAAACTGTTTCAAATTATAAGAAAAATTATTTTTCCATTCACTAATCCAGTACAATTAGGCCAATATAAACCACAGTTCATGAAGACTGACCACGAAGTACTCTGCTAGATGTTTGGCAACTGTCGTGAATGATTTTACCCTTAACTAGCTTCCAGTCTACCAGTAGGAAGTCTAAGTTTGAGCCAGCATATAGAATGAATTTGGCCTCTTAATAGAAAACAAACAAAATCCACCCTTCTTCTCCAAAAGGAACTTCTCCATGTAGAAGAAATGAGAAGGGGGACAATTCTAGAATAGAAACTGCTGGATGAACAAATGTCTAAAGCTGTACCTCAATATCTTCCAAGTAAGCCTGCTGATTTGAAGGTGAATAGCTACATCATTGTTAAGTATATGCTTATCTCTAGAGAACAGCCCAAGAGCACTTTCAGTTATCACTGAAGCTCTACACCAGACCCTGAGAAGATTGGTTAACTACTTAAAAAAATGACTGAACTCTTCCTTTAAAAAAAAAATCATCAACAGTGTAATTCTAGCAAAGTATTACAAGATTATATTCTGAATTACATTACTGCCTAAGGCATGTTTAAAACCGAATACTGCACCTTATACTCTCACCTCAAGTTTAGTCTCAGATTTATGAATCCATTTTTGATTCATTCCAGATTAATGGTTTACTCTTGGGCTTTAACAACTTCCTTTGGCATTTCTGTTGCTGATTTTTCTTATCTACACTTGTGCTTGTCCTATGGTACACATATTGCATATTTACTCAATAAACATTTATCTAGTTCTTGCTACTGTGTGCCTGACAGGTTTAAACATATACATATGCAGCTGTCTTATATTCACGACATGCATATAAGGTAAGAGCAGAAAGATGCACAGGTTCATATTCACTTTCTGTTATTGAAGTTTATCTTATTCTTTCTTTGTATGAGAAGTAAAAGCACAAGCATGGACATATTTGCTTTTGTATTTACCTAGATTATGACATGGCAATAAAGTCAACTAGTTTTTATTGAACTTGCTATTCAGAGTGAAGAACTCCAATTTACCTAACTCAACTTGGTTTTCATTTCAGCTTTGAAACATTTTTCTCATCAATATTTACTTAAACCACGGTTCATGAATACTAACATAGTTTATGGTTTTCATTTTAAATATTACTTTAAATTGTCCCTGATGGAATATTAGAATAAATGTTTTCATTGGGTTGTTTTGTTCATTTTCCTAATAATATTATTTCCAAATGATATTACTTCATTATTCAAGTACTGAAACATAGTTTTCCAGTAAGAACAGGAGTAAAGTGAGCCAAGATATCCTTAGGTACTACAACGAGAAATGTCCCTAGCCTACTTATATCAAGAGGGCATTATATGATTTGACCTGTACCTTATTTTTTCTATACAGAAATACCACTGAGTTAGTGTAAAATAATGGAAAATAAGGGGAAATTGAATTTTTGTTTCTCTGATGATCTGTGGCCTATGAAACATCAATTACTCTCCCCTTTCTTGAGAAACTATGTGCAAGAAGACATAAGGAAAGATGACAATAATCTTCACTGCACTCCTCATAGTCAGGGTTGTGACTAATTGTCTTCTACACTCGTCTTTCCCAGAATCACTTTCAGGTGAAATGATGTCAGCCCCATTTGCTTGGTTTAAGGCAATGTGGTTGAGTGAAGATTAAACAGACCTCTTAAGAGATGAGTCTAGACTAACCATGACTTGGGGTTCACTCACACAGCAGAATCTTAGGAAACTTGATCTCATTGTTACCTGTCTTCGATCCTCAGAATCTCATCATGACAAAGCAATAATATGGGACACAATGTATGACCAGCCTTTGTGATTTAACTTTTGATTAGGTAAACAAATTAAGCTTCTTCATGTCAGTAGTATGTATATATATGTGTGTGTGTGTGTGTGTGTATGTGTGTGTGTGTGTGTGTTTATGATGTTAAAGACTGATGTCTTGCTTGTCTGTGTTTTAGAGAGGGAATGGTATATATGATGGGGGCCTAGTTATTATATTACCTCTTAGGAAAACAGATTGAATGAATTACTCTAATGAGAACTTTCCAAAGACAAAGCACTAAGTGTCCTGAACAAGGGCATTTTTCTGTGAGAAATGTAAGTCTGCCTCTTGGCTTGTGGTTGTCAGGTAATGAACATACTCCAGAGAGATATCAGTTTGAGCTATAAGGGAGCATGGCAAGATTGGTGCCCATGTATCTAAGAAGCTCAATTTCCCAGACTGAACTTTGAGGAGAGCCCCCAAAACCCTGATGTAGCAGTAATATGAATATTTCTTTTCGCTGGCTCAGGACATTTCTGTTACCATGAGCTATTTCTCAAGAATATACTCATGTCCTTACATAAGTGCCTTCATTTGAATGATAATTGTTATGGTCACCTAGGTATGGCAGTAAGAACTGGGTCATCAGAATTGATGATGCTTGGTTTGAAGTGAAGAGATCCTATCCGCATGGCTGGTAATGACATTTAAACAGAATGGGCTGCTGTAACCATACACAATGTAAGAGAACTGACTGGCTCCAATAAAGTGCACTATCTTATTGTTCTGGATATCTACCCTTCACTGGTAAAATGAAGTTTGAGAACTTATACCGAAGGCCAACTATGGGTCTAATCTCTCTCTCTCTCTCCTTTTCTCCCTCTCTCTGTCTCTGTCTCTCTCTCTCTCTCTCACACACACACACTCTTTTAAGATAAAGAACCTGCTTCTAAAGACATAGTATAGAAATTCTGGGGTTAACAATGTAGTTTATTCATAAATTAGACTGAACTACTTTATTTTAATGAGAAAAGATCATTAATATTGATAACAATGGAAAAGAAATAAATAGTTATCTGATCAACTAGAGAGTAAAACATGTTTAGCGAGTAAAACACATGTTTCTTTGAATATGTTGCATTTTGTGATCATGAAAAGCCTGTCTGGATGAGATCAATTGTACCCTTTTGCATTAACCCAGCAAGTTAAGGTATCAAAGGAAGCAATCAACTGGGTAAAATCCATGAACTTTAATTCCTTATATGCATCCATCTGGAAGGCAAAGGATTCTTTTTATTTACAGTTTTGGATTTTGTCTTTCCGACAACCTGCAAAAGTATGTGCAAAACTACATACTCAGTGAGACCATCTGAGAGAGAGCATTCCTTTCCTTGCTCTGGTGGGTACATACTTTTCAAATGTTACTGAAGGACCTAGATAAGCATGAAAGACAATGAAAGGAAGGGGGCAAAATAAATAAAAGCAGTAACAGATTTGTGTTCTT